CGCGGGGAGCGTAGTAGTAAAAAGAGAGGAGGACAGCAAGAGCGTGCGCACACGAGGAGAAAGAGAGAAAGAGACAGAGAGGGAACGTATACAGAGAGAGGAATAAAGAAGGAAGAAAAGCGAGCGCGCGCGGTTCCGTTGGTTAGACAAAGAGGAAGGGAAACGGGACAGACAGATAGATAGACGGGGGTAAGAAAGAGAGCGAGGGCACGTAAGAGAGTGTGTAGGTGTTTCGAGAGAAGTGCGTGCGCTCGAGGACGACGTGCAGGAGGAGGGACCCCCGTCTGTCTGTCTGCTGGAATGCACGAGGGCCGAATGGCTACAGGGGCAGGGGAAGGTGGGGGCCACACGGCCCTCGAGAACACCACCGCGACGGCCCTTACGGAATCATCGTCGTCATCCTCCTCCTCCTCGGTACCGACGATTCTCGCCGAAAACAATACCTCGACTAACCTACCTTTGCCGGGACCTCAACAACAGACCCTTCATCAGGTACAACAGCAACAGCAAACTCAACAACAACAACAACAACAACAACAGCAAACGCACTCACGACCACCGATCAACTTGGTCACTGATCTGCCAGCGAATGATACATCAGGTAACCTCAACCACTCATTTTTATGCTCTCGAGTTCTTTGTTGCCGCAGTATACCGCTTGCCAAACTCTCTTTTTCTTTCTCCCGCTACTTTACCTTCTCTCTACGTTTCACTCTCACTCTGCTGTTTCTGCCTCTCGCTTTCGCTTTCGCTTTCAACCGTTTACCTCTCGCTTTGTGCGTATAGTCTTTCGTCCTTTCCATCTATCCTCTACTCGCCAACACTAGTACGTTGCTTTCCCTCTCTCCCTCTCCCTTTTTTTTTTCTCTATTATTCGCCTGTTTGTACTCGTTTTGCCCATTTTTTCGTTCGACTCGGTCCATCTTCGAAGTTACAGGTACATACGATTTCGCTCTTCCTCATTGCGCGACGTAGCAAAACGTCACATCTTTTTCCTGTTTTACACTTTGTCTACTCGACTATTTTTACGCTCATAAGTAGCAAGCATAAGTACCAATTACATATATGTAACCAGTAAGTAGAAACATACCACATTTTTATTATAATTTGTGTTAACGAAATACATAAATACGAAAGCGAGTCTCATTTATCGATTCTACGTTTAATAAGTATACGTGTCTATTACCCGTTAATTCCTCTAGGCTTGTTAGCAATCTTTATCTATACCTATGTATAAATAGCAGTTAATCGCGAAGGTATCGAGCGTAACCGTATGCACGATTTAAATTACCCGCCGCGTGAGACAAACTCAACCGCATTCCATATGGAACAAGTTTCACTGAAAAGTTCCTAGAAATATCGTCAGAAGGAAAGGAAAAACTATGGCAAAAACATAGTAGACGAAGGCAACGCGATGGCGATAAAAATGCAAGAGTGTGCGAAATAACCTGGCAACGATGGTTTGTACCTGGAGAACGATAAGAGATAGAAAAGTAGACGGAATCGGATATCGTATTAGTACTTGTTGGCGTGCGCGATAAAATTTAGCTGGTCGTCACTGGGAACCGGGGGTTGCGCGCGATTCTACGAACGTCACGAGTGGCTTTCGCGCGCAACAGGCGTTCCGTCGTGAATTCCGCAGTAGCGACGATGCAAACGAGCCGTGTGCCCGGTCGCTGCCACATCTCGCCTCAGATTTAGAACAGACAACCTTCAGAACGTTTTCTTTATGAACTCACACCGTCCCGATGCTTCACGAACGAAACGCAGCAATTCGATGAAGCGAGACGTTTATTTGTGTTCGCAATGTTTCACCCTTTCTGTTCTAACCCTTACATTTAACACTAGTTCTGGTCTAACATGATATATCGTGAGCGACTGCAGAAGGAATCTTTTGGAAACAGGTCCATTTTTATTAATTTCTTCATTTCAAATAATTTGGTAGATTCACAAATATAAATTTCCTAAAAATAGGTAATAACTCTGTGAAATTCTGTAAATAGGTAAAGGATGATTTTTGTAATATTCAGTAAGATGTAAGGATATATATTTAATTTCACAAGCAATACAAAGGCAATAGTTTTGTTAACATGGAATTCATTACTGAATGTTTAAATCGATTATTATGTTTTTTGTTTATGGCCTGCGTATTGCGTACTATTCGCAGTTAATGATTATGCGTTTGAATATTTTGAAATCGTTCGAAGTTTTCAATATTTCTAAGATTGGAATTATTTCAAAGTTAATTTAATATGTACTTCAGATTTTCGAAAGTCTAGATAAATTTTGAATCTTCAGTCTTTTAAGTCCTGATAATTCTTGAGAATCTTGATAAGTTTGAACGTCTTGAAAGCATGGTATTCGATATTGGGATTGAAATTGTAGATATGAGATATCTAATATCCTACGTTTGGTTTTAAAAGCATTATAAATTGAAATATTTTAAAGGTATTGAATATTATGTTTCTCCATTTGTATAATGAACTATCTTTATATAGAGCTACTGGAATAATAAAATTTTAAATTGTTGTTCATCTATTCTTTGTTATAACGAGCGATACTTAATCCTCGAACAAGAATTATTTTATCTTACTAAATTCATTTTATCTGAGAATTGTAATAATATCTTGTAGAAATTCACTTCATAAAAATGATATATACAGGGTGGTTGGTAAATGGTGGTACAAGCGGAAAGGGGGTGATTCTATGCGAAAAAAGAAGTCGAAAATATAGAATAACAATTTTTCGTTCGAGGCTTTGTTTTCGAGAAAATCGACTTCGAATTTTCGCTCGGTACGCGTGCACTTTATCGCGTCTCGTTATAACGGATCTCACTGTAGATCGTTGTCTCGATGGAAAAATTAAAAAAAAAAAAATAAAAAATTTTTATTCTATATTTTCGACTTCTTTTTTCACGTAGAATCACCCCCTTTCCGCTTGTACCACCATTTACCAACCACCCTGTATATATCATTTTTATGAAGTGAATTTCTACAAGATATTATTACAATTCTCAGATAAAATGAATTTAGTAAGATAAAATAATTCTTGTTCGAGGATTAAGTATCGCTCGTTATAACAAAGAATAGATGAACAACAATTTAAAATTTTATTATTCCAGTAGCTCTATATAAAGATAGTTCATTATACAAATGGAGAAACATAATATTCAATACCTTTAAAATATTTCAATTTATAATGCTTTTAAAACCAAACGTAGGATATTAGATATCTCATATCTACAATTTCAATCCCAATATCGAATACCATGCTTTCAAGACGTTCAAACTTATCAAGATTCTCAAGAATTATCAGGACTTAAAAGACTGAAGATTCAAAATTTATCTAGACTTTCGAAAATCTGAAGTACATATTAAATTAACTTTGAAATAATTCCAATCTTAGAAATATTGAAAACTTCGAACGATTTCAAAATATTCAAACGCATAATCATTAACTGCGAATAGTACGCAATACGCAGGCCATAAACAAAAAACATAATAATCGATTTAAACATTCAGTAATGAATTCCATGTTAACAAAACTATTGCCTTTGTATTGCTTGTGAAATTAAATATATATCCTTACATCTTACTGAATATTACAAAAATCATCCTTTACCTATTTACAGAATTTCACAGAGTTATTACCTATTTTTAGGAAATTTATATTTGTGAATCTACCAAATTATTTGAAATGAAGAAATTAATAAAAATGGACCTGTTTCCAAAAGATTCCTTCTGCAGTCGCTCACGATATATCATGTTAGACCAGAACTAGTGTTAAATGTAAGGGTTAGAACAGAAAGGGTGAAACATTGCGAACACAAATAAACGTCTCGCTTCATCGAATTGCTGCGTTTGTATAATTATATCGAACAGCGTATCAATAACTAGCTCTTACAATCATTCAACAAATAATTGTTGCTATCGGAAATTAAAATGTCGATTCTCGTTAAAATTGATGAAAAGTATGACGTGAAACACAGGATGCGGTAATTAAGTCTGATGCAATTAGTTGATCAATTATTGACAATTATTGACAAATAGTTTGAGAAACACTTACTTATCTGATCCACCTAATAGTCCATTTCTACCTGTATTACTTTAAATGGTGTTCTACCGTATCGTAACTTCTCACTGTAGCTCTCAACTTGTCTCCATAAAATGGAGATTTTTTCTTGAAATTTGTTCTCTCTCTTTTGGTAACTCATGTTTACCCAAAGAGAACATTTTGAGGTAGTATGGTTCTTAAGAGAACTGGGTAGGTTAGTAGCGAGCAGCCAAGAGGTTTTTTCTTGCACCATTAGACGCACGCGAATCCGTGTCAAAGTGCCCCCCGGCTAGCAAGAATATCTAATTACTCGGTAAACAAGTAAGTCGCCTTATTCGAGCTCGAAAGAAGCTTCTCCCTTTCTCTCAGTTGGTTTCTTTAGCCAGGTCGTTGCATCTTAGAATCTCGTATGTACAATATCTCGTACTGTAAAGTAAACTCACACTATGGGTATAAATTCGTGATGCAATTGAAACGAGAGAGATTCTATGGTTCGAGTTATGTCGACGGTGCAGAATAGTATTTTTTCCTTTAAGGTTCGCGTTCGAGGAGAATCGAATTTGAAAATTTCAAAGCATCAAGGAAACGATTAATCATGTAGGATTTTATATTCGTTCAAGATTGCTACCCAATGTACGTATGTAAAAAGCAAGCTATTGAAAGAACTACATTGGCATAGTAAGTTATAATAATTATATGCCGATCTCGATAGTTTGCTAATCTAAATACTGCTGAAGAAATTGACGGTGGATTAAATGGGATACCTCGAGAAGTCTAGTTAGGATACTTCAAAATCTAACCGGCCATTCAATAAGTTGACTAAAAATACAAATAAAATATTGCCCTAACGCAACACTGATCTTCAACCGATTAAGTTTTCATACGTGGCCTAATTCATATGAACGAGGGGTGCACATATACATAGAGGGAGACTTCTAATTTCCTTAACTGTTACGTGAGTTATGTAGCATACCGATTCGGCTTAGGATTTAGTTAACAAGTTGCCAAACTAGATTTCCTAAAAAAACCGAGTATCCAAAGCAATTTTGTTACCCTTCATTTTTGCCTTATTTTTCACTCATACCGCGAATTTATGTTCACGAAATTTATATACATATATATTATTAATTTTTGCCAGTTAAAAATTGAGATTGATTTACATAGATATCTCATTCATATTGTTATGCAGTCTCTATATACATTAGATCATTATATATTTATATAATGTAGTATGTAATATGAAATATATAATGTAAATAAATATATAATATATATACACTTAAACTTACACTTAACTGTACTCTATTTACTCTATATCTAATTATATAAATTTAATCTTATAATTTAATTGCACACTCCCTCTTTGTCATTCGCACAAGTCCACTCCTCCACTCTTTCTCATACATTCATTCTTTCTTCTAATCTCTACAACTATTCTGGCTCACGCTATATTTTACATGAGATTGAAGAAAATTGTAGATGTACATAGGTATATACATATACATAGAAGGGGAGAAGTTTTAATTTCCTTAACCGTGGCACGGGTCA